GCTTTTTTGGCTACTTTTGTAGGTATGCACAATATTTTTAGCAGCTATTGAACGGTGCTGTATTATATAATAACTTAAAACATTTTTCTTGTACATAACGTCAAATATCTCAAAATCCTGACGTGATGGCCGAATTCTGAGCTCGGATTCTGATTCCACGCACAAAATTACTGTAATTAGGTACTGCATCAACATTCTTTTTGATGACAATGAATGATTTTTTCAAATTGTCAAATACACCCTGTTATATCACAATCGCAATAAAAGTGGATTTGCTGTCAATAGATCAGTTCGTTGAAAAGGGTACAAAAATCGAATCAAAAGCGACTTGAAAATTCAACGATAAATTCCCGCTAGGATATGTCACAAAACGAAATTTAATTGGCGTCGTTCGCTGTCGTGAAAAACGGGTTAAAGTGATCGACATCCGCCAGTGTGAATTTGTCCACCCGTGAGAGATGGAAGGGACGGCGGTGTCACTTTCAGTTCACGATGAGACGAGAGAAGTAGTGATGGTGGCGCAGAAGTGCGACGACATTTGATAAAGTGGATTCGTTTCCGGTTTCCACAAGTCCATTGAAATATTACCACTGTTCGTTTGAAATTACCCCCAAACGGAATACCAAAATTCTAGGCGTTTCGCTGTGTGAGAATCGAAAATTCATTTGAATCGGTGATGTGCAAAAATGGCATTTATCAAAGTCCGTTTTCTTAATTAACTCGGCGGGTTAATGTCGGTTGACGTTCAACGGTTTGCAACTTTACGTGATGGAATGTTAATAAGTCAGTTAGGTTTTGTTCTCTTTTCAAGTTGAATACCTTTTCGAAGGCAAATTCCTAAAATTCACTAAATTGAAAATGTAAATTTAATTTTCAGTTGGAAGTTTTTTAAGATAATTTATGATGGTTGAAATCAGGGGTGAATAAGAAGATGAATCGAAGCAAGGGTGGTTTCTTATTTGTTCCCGTTTCGCTGTCTAGATGTCCGTTTACGTGCTACTCGTAAGGGCCACGTAATCTTATGAAATATTCATAAAATGTACTCGATTCTACATGCACGGTTTCTAGTTCGGACGACTTTTGTAGAGATCTTCTTACATTAAAGCTGCCAAGATCAATGATATTTCTAGTCATCCTTTGTTGCAAATTTTTCTTTGAATAAAATAATTTTTCAAATAGAAATGAAATGGTAGCTAAAAAATTATAGTAAAGTATAAAAGTTCAACAACATTCACGTGCTACCACGAACAATATATCGTATTTTTAGCATTGTAAAACAGGCACAAGACCATTTATAAACCGATCCGGTGACGCGTTGCGACCCATTCCGCAACCCCTTGCATTGTTTTACCACCCGTACAGAGCGTCCAATTAAATCCCTCGGTCATTTCCAGTGTGTCGCATATATATTCGGATTAACTACGCGGTTTCGGACCTGTCTTTCTCATCTACCTTATTCTGTTTTAACTTGTACATCCTTTCAAATGGAAAAAGAATTACACTAAAATATCCGTTCCATTCTAGATTAAAAATAAAAAATTTAATAACAATATACGAACGAAGATTTAGCTACATTGAACCATTTTATAAATATTAAAATTTAATATTACAGCTTTACGAGGAAACATCACTTTTATTTATATTGTAATTTCTAGTTTACATTAAAATTACGAAGGCAACGCCGATACTAAATCAATTTCGTTTGCTCGTTTTATATTTTTTGGGGTGTGATAATTTACATTATGGCTTTAGCGCGGTGTCGTAATTGCTTTTATAATATGACTTTCTATACTGAAAAATAACACGAAAATTACAAACAAAAATTTTTTATTACATGAATTTTTGGGTAACCGAAATTTTTGCTACCTTGGATAACGGAAATTCAAACAGCGTACTTTTTTGAACGTTGGAAATGCTCTAAATGCCACACTGAATCGTCCCCAGTTAAATTTGTTGTTGTTCCTACTACGAAGTATTTACGAGAAATGAGAAATTTGATGTTTGTTCAACATGTAATGCTTTGAACAACAAAATCAAAAACCTACAGTTAAACGGCACTGCCAACATAACAGCGTATCGGAACTGCTGGGTCATAAACGACGAACAAAGATTTTTCACAAAATTAAAAAGAAAATTTAAGCAGAACGTACAACTGCCAAAAACATCAGTGGGTGAAGATTTTGTTGTTTTGTATATAGTAAAAATTGCTGAGGACAAAACAAATTTTATGCTTCTTTCTTCAGCCGATAATGATTTTTGACAATTTATAAAATATTGCCTATTTATAGTAACACACAGCAACTCAAACAAATTTACAGTTAAAAAGGTACAAGCTGAAGATATAATAAACTTCAAAGAAGGGTGGCCAAAACTGTAGAAAAGGAACTCCATATATGAAGAAAGCGTTTCCAAAAGTACACCACGATGACACTTAAAACACGGAAAGTTTTGAATTTCCGAAGTTGATGGAACGCTTCAGCGTAATACCATCAAAAGTTATATATTTTCTTCTTCTTGTTCCTTTTAAAATAGAGCTCAGCCAAGTCTTTCTTCACCTGTTCAGAGTCATGACTGGGATGTTGAACTACAGGTTTTGCACCACCTCTACAGGCGACATCCAGGAGGTTTGGTCACATCTCTCCATCTGCCACGTGCTTATCTGATTATGTCCTACACTCTACATATGTGCCTGATGTCTTCGCTTCTTATCCGGTCTAGCAAGGAGTAGCCTGCAAATGCTGCTGGGAAGTCTTTTGGTTGTGGTTTTTCCTTATCTTGTTGGAATCATCCTCGATCTTACAATCGTCTTATAGATCCCAACCTGACGCACCTGATACCACCGCTACTCTTGTGGTTTGCGTTTTGACTGTCTCTTTCAAGGCTCTATTATTAATAATGTTTACTTCGAGATATATCACTGGCATAACTTGATGTATGGAACGATTGTAACCTAGTTTATACATTCTTGGTGTTTTGGCTATTGCAAGGAACTGTATTTTCTATACTGAGATTCCCATATAACATTTCTCTGCCGTTTTCTCGAAATTAAACAGCATTCATTGGATATTGTAATAGTAAAATTAAGTAGAAAAAGGAGAAAATGAAAAATTTTGTCTATAGCAAATTCAACATACTGGATGAGTCCTACAAAAAACTTCTTACAAATTTCATTATTTATTTGCATTACCATATATTCATTACATATTATTAGTTAATGCTTAATTACTTCATTAGCTTGAGAACGGCGTAATGTGTTTCTGAACATTTCTGAATCTGCGACCAATCTGGTTTAAGACTTTTCGATTTTTTTTTAGAAATGCTTATTGACAAACCCAACATCAACGCAGATACTAGGCCACTTCTGCAAGTACCATTTCATGTCAGAATTATCCATTGGGTCTCTAAGTCTTACACCGGACTAAATGCTGTATTAAATATTTTAACTAATTTGTAGTACTATTACTGTTTACTGTGACCAATGTATTCATAAGTTATTAAATAACTTTCTAGGTATTAAACATAGCTGATAGTTCTTACCTTTATCTATACTGCACTCTTTCAATGTATCACAAAGTTGGATAATTCCTCAACAAACACATCATTTGAGAGTCTTTCTAAGTGAGGAATATGTTGTTAATGTCTGCAATTCAAAGTTTATATAAGTATTTCTTCTTTGGAAACATACAAGTAGAAGATGAAGTTTCTCAATAGAAGAAAATGGATATTTCACATGGATATTTTTTATAACAAATTTTGAGTAAAGGTAGTTTAGTTTACAGCTTGGGTAAGGTTAGTTTTCTTTTGAAATGTCAATCGTTCCGGAAAAGAATATTGGATAAGGTTAGGTTCCTCTTAAAATGTCAATCAGTCCATGAATGAATGTTGGGTTACTTTAAAACAAGTATGGACAAAGATCGTCAATAATATGTATTCTTTGTTAAAAAATGCGTATTTTCCAAAATAAGTAGTAAAATAACAAGAACACAACATAATGAGCTATGCAACATAAGTATTATTCACTTTTTTCTAATTTGAGGATTAGAAGAGTGCTGTTTTTCCATCAGGCACTATATATTATGCACATTTTCAAAGCTTCATAAATACCATTGAAGGTTTGAAATGGCTCTTCATTTGGATAATTTTATAGGATTTCTTTATTTTCTTTCTCCTAATCTCACAGAAAAAGACCGGATCAGGTTTCTCAAAAAAATATCTTAATATATTTTTACCTCTCTGGTTACGATTTTAGCTTTGTATGTATTCTTCAATAAAATCAAGTTCCATATCCCCCCAACGCGACTAACAATTGGTTTTTAATTTTGAAAATTGGATTCAGTTTAAACAAGTGATTTGAAAAACATATACAGACTTCCGATAATTTCGACACATTTGCGTGATGGCCCGGTTAAATTAGTAATTTGACTATAAATGATTCCATTGTGTAATAGAACTAAAGGCCGTTCTATTACACAATGGTAACGTTTATAGAGATAAATCTATAAACAACTTCCATTCATTCCCTGTAGGTGTAATGCCCAATTCATTCATCGAACCAACAATATTTGAGCAATAAAAATTGGAAAATTTATTCTCTTTTCACCTATATTTATGCAAGCTAGTTAGGTTTAAATTTTCTATGTGTTGCAAAACCCCATCAGTGGCTGCCTCTGACATAATCATATCGTTATCTGCATCAGTCTGAAATTTGTCACAAATATAACAAAAATTATTAGGAATGTTTTTACAGCTATGCCTAAATATTATTTGACGTCTCTTTAAGATTTACTAACAACTTATCGGGATGAATATCAAAATTTTTAAAGTATTAAATACAAAATATTGTTTTTAACAGTTAAAAAAAGTAATTTTGGTTAATAGTAATAATTTTAATGTTTAAATCAAAAATTTTATTTAGGTACTGTTAGGAAACGCATAAAATCCCTGCAAATTTTAAACGTGACACTATCTTTACTTACATTGTCTCTCTTTTCTCGTTTCAGATTTAGAAATAAGATCCCCAAGGTTTACCGGATCGAGCTGGTTAGCGTTTCCGGCCCTACGAGGCGCCTATAAGCACGTCCAAGTCAACCTGGAACTGCGTCCTGAGTCGTACGACGGGATCTTCTTCTTGACGGGCGAAAGAGACGATATGGCCGGCGATTTTATGGCCTTACTACTCCACCAGGGTTTTATAGAGTTTAGGTAAAATTTTAACTATACCAACTATGTATTATTTACCAAGAAATCCAAATTAAAAACTTAAACAATTCAGAAAATAATAAACATTATTTTAGTTGATTTCAATTAAATAGAATTATAAATATATTTGCCAATCATAGTTAGACTTTGTACATGCCAATTATAGTTGTATATCATTGTTGGAGTTAGCGATTAATAATGCTTTCAGATTTAGATATTCTGTTCTGTTCAAATTACAAAGTTAAAATAGCAATGTCAACATGAACTTGTCACCGAAGCTTTGTTTTGTGTTTCAAACTTATAAATTGGAGCATGTAAATAACGGGGACATATTCCAATCTTTTTTCTGTTTATCCCACGTAGAAACTAAGTTATCTAATAAAATCACCCTATATAACTATATCACTCAATCACTGTTGAAATTCTCACATGTCAATTACCGTTATATATCACTCTAGATGTTGGTGATTAATAACGATATCGAACACCGTCGAAGGTTTCAAATTTTGAAAACATGTTCTGGTTAAATCGGAAATTTCGAATAATGTCGACGACTTCGTTTCATGTTCCAAACAACTTACAAATTGTGGCAAGCAAATGACTGGAACACATTCGAAGGCGCATCAATTTGAGTTGATTCGCACATTTGACTTTAAAAATAGACACGTGCAATTAACGATTTCGTCGAAACTATGCGATGCGGAGAGTTTCGAAGGGCGATAATTGCTTATCGATTCGCATCGTCGTCGGGGGCGGCGGTTTTCACCCCTTACACAGTTCGAAACCTACCAGCACCACCCCTTTCGAATCCCCTTTTGACCTGAAACACGGTATCCTTTAGAATTCAGATCAGTCGCGGTTATAAATTATTCAAAAGCCACCACTGACCTAGAGGTTAATGAGAATATAACTAAAAAAGATGCTCGATACTTTATTTAGTTGACTCTGTATAGATTTAAATTAGTTTCTTTTTAAGGAAAATGATACGATTTGATTTAAGTGGGTTTTCTGCGATTGTTAAAAAGAGAAAAAAGAAATGAAACTTTTCATGGTCGTGTGAAGCTTCAGAAAGCTTTATTATTCGATATCTTCGGTACCCAAAGCCATTTTAGGATCCCCGAGGTCGGTTCCACTTCACCGAATCGCTCTTCTTATCGACTGGTCAATAAAACAAGCCCTTGGGGGCTAAAATCGGGCTTCGGACTTAGTTCTATATCTTTTCATAGATAAAACTGGGAAAAAAACAAAATGAATGCTCTATTATCGTTACTCATAAAAGTTTAAATGATGAGAAATTTTTATTAAAAAAAGAATTATATAAACAACATTCAATTTATAAGTGAAAATACTTTGTTTCCCTTCTAGCTTGAGGGACTGATTGATTTTTGAATTAATTACTTTTCGCAACAGCCAGAGGAAAGGGTAAACAAGCACGAAATAAGGTAAGGTAGCAAAGTTGCGTGGACGCGGAAGTTCTGAAACTATTTTGAACCTCGGACAGAAGCAGAATTTAATTAAGTCTCCGTAGTTATTGCGTGAAATATTCACTGCTTATACCCCTAGGAATTATTTGTTGTTGTTTTTGTTTTAAAGTAGTTGATATTAGGAAAAAGAATTTTCATCGCGACGAAGATAATAACAACACGAAAAAAAAAAGAGGGAAACTTCTTTGTTACAAATATTGTTTTCAATTTATTCACATAATAAAGATGAAGTCTGTGGTAAAAAGAGTGTCAATCTCACCCCGAAGTCATAGGCGGTGACAGTAAATATATGGAAACTTCACGACTTCATAACGTCGCTGTGCCATTACAGCGTGGGTTGAAAAATACATTAAGATCAACTACAGACAGAACAAAGCCAAAGGAAAATTCGTTCTGTGATGATCAGGATTAGGAGCTGTTTTCTTAAAATTACGTTGTTGACATTTACAAATATCTTTTTGTTTAGTTTTTGGAGTTTATTAAATTTATAGATCAAAACGAAAAAGGTGTAGTATGCTAAAGTGTTTCTTTAACATAACTTAATAAGTTATAATTAAAAGCTGAAATGAATCAAACTCAAAATAATTAAGTTTTTATTTAATAGCAAAAAAGGATTAAAATTTGTTATTAAGCTGAAATTAAAAATTCTTTGTTAGAATACTTAATTCAAGTATCAAAATCGTTTGAAAGCTTAAGGCCTGGAGCACATACTCAATACTAAAGGGCACACTTCACATTAAAGAGGAGCGTAATATGGGATAATATTTAGTTGTAGATTATATTAAAAGATGTGGATAATTGGAAATGTGCAATAAAAAATGCAAAATGTTAATTCCAATAAACTTTGTTAATATAAAAATGGCTATAAGTAAAAAAGATACTTCTCTTCCTTTTCTGTTTTGTTACCTCATTCTCAGCGTTCAAAATATCTGGCCCATTACTAGTAATTTCAAACGGTGTTTAATTAATACCGCTGCCTTTCGAATGACAATCCGATTGATTTCAGTTTCTTTGACATTTGTTCACTCAATGGCTTTAAGATAAACGTTTAAATTCTTCATTATCCACATCTTTTTCCCATTTTGAAACAGTCTTGAGGAAAATTAAATTGTTCCACAGTCTTTCTTGACGTGGGCCAAGTATTCGACAAAATCTGGTAGAATAAATTGATACACAAACTTAAGTCTTATCTACCAAAACAGTTCGTAGCAACACTATAATCCTGCATTACAAATAAATTCTTTCTATTAAAACAGGAAGAGCCTAGTCTTTAGTTAAAAGAAATCAAGGTTTAGAAAATTACAAGCTGCTATTCGACAAATACAGATATGGCCTAAATAGAAAATAAAGTTAAATGAAAGTAAGATATGTACGGACATGTCGATTTTACAAACAAAGAAATAGAGCCAATACCAGTTCATATCACTGGTCAACTAATACTCTATTCAAATAAAGTCTACAAACAAAGCCATAAGATTTATTACACAACGATTCCAAAATAAAGTAATTAAAAAGTCTAGTGACTGCACCCTAATACTCCAGAATCAGTGATCTACATCGAGAAGAAATTATTGCAAGTTCTGCTAGAAGACTTGAAAAGAGACTTCATCATCATGTGAATATCTCTTGAACTCCTGTATAATTCACAGCTAGTAAGAAGACTCAAAAGACTTAAACCTTTTGACTTGGTATGACAAAGTGCTGACTAGACTCAGTGAAAAGCAGAGCATGGTGCTTACCCGGTAAGCGGTGCGGTAGTGAACTTACCCTCCAGGACCTCAAGAGCACTCTTTGCCAAGAAATCAACAATCTAATGCCTGAAATCTTGAACGTGATGCGAAATGCCAGAAAAAAAATTAAATTTGCATCAACTCTGGTGACAGCCACCTATCAGATATCATTTTCGAAATATGACAAAATGAAATTGATTACTTCAAATAACCATATGCCGTTAAAAAAACCATGCTTGTCAAAAAAAGTTTTAATCGACCTCTACAGGAATGTAAGCTTCTACATATAATAGTAGATGAATTCAAAAAATAGTTTCGGTTTGCATGATGTGATATAATGATTTAAAAGGGCGAATGCTGGGGGACTAAAAAAACTGAGTTGAAATGAAAATTTAGTTCACGTGAAGTGATCGTTTTGCTTAACTACAAAAATTGCTAGAAAATGAAGACACAACAACGATTTGTCACTTACCACTCATCAACTCTTTTCAATTAAAAACCATTTTAGAAAAATGATATACTTTTCAAAACATGTTAATCTACTGTCAGTTTTTATTAACAATGTGTTAATGTCAAAATCACTATACTCTGTTTTTAAACCAGGAAGAGTAGTTTAAATTTGTCACCAGATTGACCTTGCACGTGATTGATTGAATGCGAGGAAGGTTCACACACAGGCAATTTTGAATTTTGATTTTGAATTTGAAGGTTAGGTATTTGATAATTCGACAGTTTCGTGTCATTATTGTATATTTTGTGTTCTTAAACCCTTTTTTATTATATTTTGAAATAAATACACTCATAACTTCAATGTTAATTTGTATGTGTAGTGTTGACGATAACAAACGAAAATAAATACAATAATAAGTAAATAAATAAATCATAATTATTAATTTAAATTTACCGCCAAAATATCTAGTGATATTTTCTGGTGATTTTTTCCAGTGTAAATCTGACTTTCGTGTTTACTCCTCCTGGTTTAAAAACAGCGTATAGTTCTAGTGCAAGTGTTAGTTCTAGTTTTAATTGAACTAATAATACAACTTAGCGCTGAATACAGCGCTAAGTTGTATATTTTTAAGTTTCGGGTTTAGCCCTGTGTCTTCAAACGCTGAATGTTATGTAAGGTTAGTTTTGTTTACAAACATTAATTATACCATATGGATTGAGCCAACGAGAGAGATAGCTTGCGCAAGGCATATATATACTATCTCCTATACCGCTGACTAAGGCAGCAAAAGAGTGTAAACACTAGAGTGCAGATATATATATATCTGTCTCTGTCGTGCCCCCGTCTACACAAGAGACATGCGTGAACACGTGGTGAGTACGCTTTTATCTTATTGGACGGTGAATTAAAAATTAATAGCAGCTGATGACCTTGATGTTTATAAAACACCAAATAAATGTTTGACATAAACATAACCTAAAATCTAATACAATAATGGCTTCTTGTTTTATTTATAACATTTGAAATCGACAAAATTGTCATGGTTACATAAAATTTGGTTTGTTATTTGGGTTGCCTAAACAAAAGTAAAGAATATAATGTTTAATGAACAACCTACATAAAGTTGATATTTAAAGCAATATTCAACGTCAATTTCACACAAAAGTACATATATTCTAATTTATTTGATGCATCTACGATAATTTATAATTAAAGTCAACTATCTACAATAATTGCATTTCAAAGCTGCATAAAATACGCGCGAAACACTTCAAACTCTTTAAAATTTACGATTCGCGCAAGCGCCTTCGC